GAAGTCACCAGTCATTGTACTCAACCTCACGTCCTATGTGGAGGATCTTGGAGTTTCAGTTCCTTGTCTGGATAGGAGGGCTGGCATGAGGAAAACCCCTCCCCATCAAATGATTGAACGAAACCGCATGTTGTTTGGCAGTCAGTTGATCAGGCCATAGCGCAGCCCGGTACACGTTCATTTAGATTGCCATGCTTTGCTCTGCTGATGTGTTTTGTTTATATAATGGTTCAGAGCCAGCCAAAGTCAGATCTCACCGTCATGATGACCCTGACAGCTCTGGAGAAGAGATGCTCAAATTGAAAAAACAAGAGCAAGCACGTGACATCTTCTCTGTCTTTTCCAGACCTGACTTACCCAAATGAGAAGAACCCTTATATATAATAATTAGACCCCTTTGCCTAAAAGATTCGGATGCATCACTATCGGCTACTACAGGCTTCTCAGTTTGCCACCCAATGACCACCCAAAGAACCCTCCTGCGTTCTTGTAGTAGTAGCTGCAAATTGCATCGCGCAACCAACCCATTAAACTAGAGCTCCGAGCTATGGTAATACGAAAGAAAGCACAATTCAGTGAGAAGAAAAAAATAGATTCAAATAGTGGAAAACATGGTTGGGTGAGAAACCAATGATTACCAAGAGTCAGAGCTTTCTTTGCGGTATGTGTCATTGGGTCCTTTTTGTCTCCAAAATTTGAATTTTATTTTGGATTGAATCAAATTCATTGGTTTTAATCCAAGGCTTTCCGTCTCAGGGAGTCCAAGCAAGAGCTCAAGGGAGGCTTTCACACGGACTTGCTCTTTTACCAAAGCGTTTGGTGGCTAAACAAGGACGGATTTGGAGCTGCACGATTGGCCAGAGAGGTGACCGATGCATGGATCGCAGGTAAGCTGGAGCACGCAGGGCAGAAAATCAATGTCGACATTCCAGCTTTGACGAATGATGAAATCTCATCAATCCCAGGCGCTGCCGCAAGCCTTTCTCGACTTGACACGGTGCAGTTCGAAGTCCTGGAAAGGATTGGCAGCAGCATGAACATCAAGAATGACGAACACCGCTTCTGGATGGCCCAGGGAGGGACCATCACAGATGAATATTGTGCCCTTCGTGAAGCTCATCTTGACCTCATAGGAAGGGAAAATGTGCTTCAAGCAGATGGTCCAAGTGAAGCATCCCAGCAACTTGTAGAGGCACAACCCGAGAACACAGAGTCTGAAGCAGCTACCACAGCTACCACCATGGAATCCTTGGAAAAATTGGAAGCGTCGCATGGTGTTGAGCACAAGGTTGCCTCGGAGATCCCTCAGGTGGAGATTATTTTGGCAAAAGATGGGTCTTTGTGGCTGATGTCTTCTCAAGATCGGTCCATCCCAAAGCATTCACAACTCGGAGGCTTTGGGACAGGGCAGTATGTGCCAGCAGAAGGAGAGGAAGGCATCGACTTCCATCTCCCTGAAGGGGATCGCTCTCTGGTCCAACTCGACGAGGCATCTTTCAAAGCAGATGGGAGTGGTGTGTCAGTCATCACCTTCTTCAAAATGCTTGTCTTAGCGGAGCAGCAGAAGCATCTCACTCAACATCTGGTCTCCTACATGAATGTGACCAGGAAAGCGGACAGCAGCCTTGAGACCGGGATGGATGGTTTTGAGATCACCTACAAATCCAAGATGCGATTCAAGTGCTTGGTTCAGGAGAAGGTCACCTGCAAGAACATTTTTGCGAAGATGGTGGGCAAAATCAATGAGATGGGTCAACTGCAGTCGATTTTTAGGTTCCGATATGAAAGGATTGGAGCCTCTTTTAAAGTCCAGCGGCCATACGTAATTACAAAGGCCAGGATTAGCCTCAAGCGCGGACAGCCTCAACAAATCAAATAGGGGGTTGGCATGCTAGAAATGTCTGTTTACTAATTTTGTTTACCTGGTTGGGGATGATTAGAATCTTTTGGAACAGTTTTTGAACATAGAATGGTTTGTTTGATGAATCTCGGCACCTTGCCACACCTGTTTGTTTGAGGCGGGCTTCAGCATGTTTGCATAACAGTGCTTCAGGGCTTCAGGGTCGGTTGTTTGACAGGGCTAGGAATTGCTTATCACAGGTTTGTCATTTATCCAATTTCGGATTTTCTGTTTGAGCTGTATTCACCTGAGTGCACTGCGGCATATGCTGATTTGGCAATAGCATGGAGCTCATTGGGCGCTAGACTTCTCTGATAGGAAGCCACAGTCCTGAAAGAAATCCTAGTCATCCTAGTCGAAATACTAGTTGATCTATGATGATCATTCAATGAACGTATCCTTGTAGGTTTTATGGCTTTGCTTCAAGGGGAGTGAGAAGATGCTAGCATCATCCCAATGGTAGGTAGCTTTATACAACTTTGCCATTTTGATGAGGCAACACCGCGCAAGAAAACAACAGAAACGAGACACTCAATTCTTCTCAGCAAAGCTTTGGCAAGGAGGAGCATCTCTTCAACTACTCTATTGTATAATTTGTATAGTGAGAGTTGAGAGCAGTGTGTACCTGTTCTGTTTTGTGTGTCAAACCGGCTCAATTTGAGATTCCTTGTTTCAGTCAGTCGGAAACTACCTTGATTCTCAGAATGGCGCTGACTTACGAGGAGGTCTTGAAGGTGTGGCAAGGCCTGGAGATTATCCTGGGCATGTCTGTCTTGAATGAGAAGGGCGATTTTGGTCATGAATGCCTCAGAGAAACGCTGATCAGGCTTCAGTGTTTGCCCCTCTTCAATGAGACACCCGAGAACATGGATGTTCTGTTGAGCATGGTCCAGTTGCTCACAGTACTTCGGAACATGACTTTCTACGCTTCCATGAACGGAGGTTACGACGGCTCAGAGATCGCAACATGGATTCACCATGGTCGAGATGTTGTTGGACCTGCACAGCCTACTCGCGAACTCAAAGATGTGGTTGGAAACAGCCGAGAGCACATTGAAGACATTTTGGACAAGTCCATCCAAGAGGTGAAACACCTTCAAGTGACTTGTAGCTCTGACAGTTTTAATGTGCAGCAGTTGCTGTCTAAAGCCCTGAAGCTGCTGGAACAAGTAGCAGAAGAGCTCTCAGCAATTTGATAGGTGTGCCACTTTTGTCGCTCTTTTTGGGAAAAGAGTAGGTGCATTGTTGTGCAACTCTTTCATTTGGCAGTCGCTCGTGGCGCAAAGGTGTCATCAACTTTCATACACTTTTATGGCCTGATCTCCCCATTTGACTTTTAAGTTTCATTTTTTACACATGGCTCAAGCAAGTTGGTTAAGTCTGGACTCCGCCGCTGATGTCCTTTGACATTCAGAATCATATTTTGCGCAGCGCTGCTCTCCATGCCCAGGGAACACAAGCACCAGGGCCTTCACCACCAAGGGCTGTGGCAACCCATGAGAGTCAGGGTGGAGGTGGGGATGTTTTTGAGGCAACACCACAGCGAGGACAATCACAAGAAACTACCCCTCCAGGGAGAGGTCGTGGTCGTGGAAAAGGTCGGGAACGAGGGCGTGGCAGGGGGCGAGATAGTGGAAGACTTTTGTTTGCAGAGTGTGGGAATTGTTGTTTTGTCTAATGATATTCGATATTCATTAATCCTGTCCCTGAAAAAAAACAATCTCATTACAAGTTCATGGGATACACCCCAATACAGCCCACCCAAAAAAAAAGCATTAACATGATTAACCTTGCAAGCTCCATGCTCAGGAGCACCTGTGCTGAAGAGACCTGCTGCTAAAGTGAAGGAGGAGCCTGAACCAACACCCATTATGAAGAGGCCTTCGGTGTCCAAGTCTCCAGCTAGAAAAACGAGGAAGAGGGAGACTTCTGATGGAAATGATGGCGGAAACATTGCTGATGCTACTGCTACCGATGCCAATTTGGACCATGAAGAACCAGAGGAGGAGGAAAGGACCAGTGATCCAGAAGTGGCACAGGAGGAGGCGGAGGAGGAAAAGGACATCGAAGTCAAACGGAAACCAGCTTCAGCTCCTACAACACCAACACCTCGGAAAAAACCTTCAACGGCAACAGGACGTGGGAAACCGAGGAAACCTACACAGCGGGCAAGCTCTACTTTGGTTCTAGATACTGCCTTTGATGATGGATGGAAGCTTCAAAAGTTTGTCCGCAACCCAGGCACCAAAGGTGCAGGTGGAACCTATGCAAAATTCACCGCCCCTGATGGCACTACCTTGTGGTCCCTTGTGAAAGCCCGGGATGCGGGCTTTGTTCATGATTACAATGGACAGTGATTAGATTTAGCCATGATCGCTGGCTCAGAATGAGCGTTTTTGAGACTAGCAACATCCTGCGAAGTCAAAAATTGATAGCGGCTTCCATCACAGATTAACACACACAAGTTAACACCGAACCGAAAACACCACAAGTCTTGAAAACACTATCTTTTATGAGAACTCCTTTATTTTACTTACTGTACATATTTTATGTTGATACTGATGATCAAAGAAAGGGGTTGCTGGCTGCCGCTTCGTACTGTGTGAGCGTGTGTTGTGTGTGCATGGGATGGGTGCCAGCATGTGGCAGGGGAATGGACTTGAAGACCACATAAGGTGGAATGAAGCTACATCTGACTTTCCAGTGGTACGCTTTTTCAAGGCATGAACACTTGTTTGATGATGTGCAGTTTTTTTTCTGTCACTTTTTTCTGCTACGACGGAGGGTTCAGGTAGTTGATTTTTTGATACTACCATGAAAATAGCAACACCAGGGCACTGACTTGTGACAAATATCCCAACACCTATAGGCAAGAGGTGTGCGGGAAACTGTTTTAAACCAAATTGAACAATAGGTCAAACATATTCCAGCATGGATTGAAAAAAATGTTTTACAGCAAAATGTATCGGAGGACGCAGGTCACGTTGTATGACTATAAGGTTACCCATGATGCACTCGATGGATCGTGTGCCACCGTGGCACGCCCGGTGTTGCCCCCTCTCCACCCCGGCTCGAAACCCGGTTCCAGGTCGGGACGAGCATCAAGAGATACGAAGGTACCACGAGGAATGACATCCAATCCATCCTGCGACAAACCAACCTATGCCACTGTTCTTTCTCTCCGCGAAGTACTGCGGAAAGTACGAGCTTCGGCGGACCGGATCGGCCGAACACTCCAGGCTCGGTCCCAAGTTAAGGCATTGGTAGGCATTGGCCCGTGCACGCCGCACGGAGAACACCGGATCTATGTGATGTTTGTTTATTACACTCCCTGAAACAATCATGGAAGTGGACAGTGGTCCCTTGGAAGACTATGTTCCTCTACCATCCTCTACCAGGAGGGGGTTGTCCACTTCCATTGTTGCAGGGTATACTGACCTCTGTTGGATCATGCGCGACCTAGTGACTAGGTGGCTCCAAAGGCTCCCGTGACCAGATTTCGAGCTGTCAAGGTCATCTTAAAAGCATGAGTCCGGTATTGATGCACCAATCCAGCATGTGTGGGTGCTTGGTTTGTATGTTTACAGGAAACCAGCCAATATCGCCCACCTTTTCACTTGAGCCAAAGATCGATGGTCGAGAGGTATATAGTACATAGAATACGTGGAACACTTAGTAAAAACACCCCCCGCGGCGCGAAGCGGCTTTGCCGCGGTGCACCGAAGAGGAAGTCATTCAGTGTCCACGTATCAACCTCAGGCGGCGATGAAATCAAACCGCACTACGACCCTCGAACTACTGCTTGCGAGTAATGCATGTCGGCACGAATGCAATCAAACTCCTACTTAACGATGCAAGACGAAAGCATGATTGAGGCAATCGATCCCTTTTCACTGACGCGGAGCATGCGACAAGACTTCGCCTGAGCAGCTATGGCAATTGACCTCAAAAATTGCGATAAGCAATGAGGTTTCTCACTAGGACAACGGCTATGCCTTCCGGCACGCTCGTCTCACTGGGAACTCTTACCGTTCCATGCTCGAGAAAAGCGTACACAGACTGCACAAACCATTGAATTAAATGCAAAATGAGCTGATTGAAGGGTTTACGGCAGAGCGTTCCCGCCCGCTTCATAGGGACCTTGAAGGTATCACACCAACGAATTTTTTCCGGCGTGACCTTCCGGTCCGCATGGCGAGACGATGTTCTCTGCTTCTTTCTCCCTTTTCTTCATGGCTCTTCAGCGGTTCCACCAGCCTCCCTTGGACGAGGACCACCAGTCGGAGGAAGATGACGAGGCAGCCTCACTCTGCCATGAGGATCGCCCGGAGCGGTTCCAATCCCACGAACCGGAGCCCCAGGAACCTCCCCATCCTTGGTTCCAGCTGCTTTGCCAGCCTCCTTGATACTGGCTCTTCCCCTTGCCTTTGCCCTTGCCCTTGTTGCGACCCTTTGCTTCTGGGCAGTCGCGGGCACGATGGTCGGGTGAGCCGCACTCGTAGCAGAGCTTGGCGTCTTTCCCGACTCCTTTTGAGCGAGGATCGAAGGCCGTCTTCGTGCTTTCCTTTGCAGTGGATCGCCGCTCGGTGAGCTTCACCTCTGGAAACCGTCCTGAAAAGATCGTCGTGTCGGAGTACTCGGTTCCCTCGCAGGCTCGAGCCCAATTGCGTTCAGCAAACTCCACTAAATCGCTCAGGATCTGCACGGCGTCGCCTTCCGGCACGCACTCCAGGCTTCCCCATCCCTCCACAGCAACAACGGGTTCGTTGCGTGTGCGGGCCAGCGAGCACCACATCGAAAACTGCTTCAAATTGAAGAAACGATTGTGATGACATACGAACGATTCGTCTTCGATCGACATGGCATCGTTCGGGTCCCTGGCAATAGTGGGGATAAAGCACAACTTGGAGTGGTGCTCCCTCTCTTGGTCGTCAAGGGCCCTCTTCCGCTCGAGAGCGCTTCGTCCAGGGTTGGCAAAGATCGCTCGTGCAAGTCGGTGAAGAAAGGTGAGTGACCCTGACGTGAGCTGCGTTGTTGCACAGTTATAGGCAAACAACGGGTCAACCTCCAGTCGCTTCGTCGGTCCGGGCAATCCCAGCTGCTTCGCCTTCCTGACGTAGTTGACGGCCAGTCTCTTGACTAGGCCGAACGCCGATTTGGCGCCGCGCTGCTGTTCGCCCTTGGATGTGTCTTTGACGACGTTCGCCTTGCGAAAGGATCTTGTTGAAAGCTGATCCAAAGCGACGACGGACTCATTGAGGTTGGCCGTCTCTTCCATCCGGGCAAGTTCACTGGCCGAACGGGCGTCGGACCAGACCTGCAAGTCTTGGCGACAATAGTCGCATTTGCGCTGGCCATCAAAGTGCTTCGTCGCACACAAGGGTGATGGGCACACCCGCTTGGGGATCTGGACAATCTCATTCGCCATCAGATCTTCGTCCGTGATGTCGCGAAACTTTCCTTTGCCCTTGCCCTTCTTGCCCTTGGACTTGCCCTTCGATTTGCCCTTTCCTGCCCAGCCAGACATCTCCTCATTGATGATAATGCACACTTGTCCCAGCATAAAGCCGGTAAGCTCTGGCGGCGGACCCTCCCGGGACGCTTGGCTCTGAGTCAGGGCAACCTCATCGGTAATGCCCGTCATCTTGACTGCGCCTCGCATCAGGTTGATCTGGCCCACCTTGACGTGCTGCTGATTCTGGCGGGCATTGTTCAGCATGTAGTTTCGGGCTTCAGCCAGCTTGCTCAGTCGGAACTGTGGATCGTCAGTGGAATGGCTCTTCATTTCTTCATGGTACATCTGTCGCATCTTGGCGTACGCCCTGTTGAACCAAACAAATTGGTTGTTCCGGGCATCGTACGCGTACATCAGTGCGGAATTCGGAACCCAGTCCAAACAGAGGATGCTTTTCCGTGTCGCGAAGACCCGACAACCGTGCTGCATCACAAGCTCTGTGTCGAATGCTAGGTAAATGGGTTGTCCGGCTCGCGTTCCCGCAAGCTTTCTCATCTGGGCCTTCCATGGCGGGCAGGTCGTGAAATAATTGTGAGCTCGGCCCGTCTTCTTTGGAAAACCACCAGGGATGAGACCAGAGGTGATGATTCCCTCCATAGCTGCGCGGTCGCACGAGTGGTATAGGACCCTTGGTAGTGACGACAGATACTCCAGGTCAGGCACCATGTTCATCCGTGGAAGCTTGCCCTCATCGACCATTTTCGGTACATAGTCGGGGTCAAGGGAATAGACACGCTTAATGAAGTTGGCGTGTCCCAACCGGTCAGTGACCCACCGGTTGTGGCCTTGCACCGCCTTGATACCGACTGGTTCGTACGGCAGACCTTTCCAGGTCGCTCCCACAGTATTGCCTGGCAGGCGGGTCTTTAACTCGAATCTTTCGTCTTCCGAATTCTTGATCACCAGAAGCACCTCCCATTCCCTGCGTTGGTTAATGCGTTTCTGGAGGCATTCCATGAGCGGCTTCCAGGGCTTACTGCCGTCCTCCTCGAAGTCAGGCGTATCGAACCCTTTCAGTTCCTTATGGCCGCGGAGGTGGGATGTGAGCTCTTGGGAGATCCACCTAAAACGGCCCCACTCAACATCCCGGCGCGGGATTTGGCGAAGGTGCTCGGGACCGAGCCACACCTCTTGTCCCGGAAGCTGGGCAAATTCGAGATCCTTACTGGGATCTTCGGTGTCGATTGCCCGCAAGGTGGGTTCCAGATTAGGACGCCTCACCTGCTTCGGCTGCGCCTTGGGCCGAATAGCAAGCCGCTCTGCTTCTTTCCACTTCTTGAATCGAGCGTCCCGCTCTTCCTGTTCCCCTTTCACCACGATTCGGCCGGTTTTCTCGTCGATGTAGCTCAGTTCCTCGTAGTGAGCTTTGGCCTCAGCAGCGACCTTTTCTAGCTCTGTGAGTTCTGGCTTCGGCGAACCTTCCGGCACGCTTGGCTTCTGGGGCTTCGTGGCAGAGGGCTTCTTCTTCGGCTTTCCCTTCTCCGCGTCATCCTCACCAGTCAGGTCGATCTCCATGGGCTGGGCATCATCAGTTTGAGTCTTCTCTTCACTAGCCTGGCCCGGAGTCTCCTTGGCTTCTCCGCCCTGGGACTCCTCAGCTGGTTGATCGACGTCATTTTGGCCTCCGGGAGCGGCTTCTTCATCCGCCTTCTTCTGCTCCCCTTGGGCCTTTTCGTCGACCTCCATGGGTTCGGGCTTATCGGTCTCGCCCGTCTCTGAACCCCCCGCAGACTTGAATACCGCCGAGTCCGCATCATCATCGTCCCAGTCTGGTTGTTCCTCTTCAGGATGCTCAACGATCACATAGGACTTTTCGGTGCGAACATCAGCAAAGGCTTCATCATCTGCCTTTTCTTCCTCAGTCTTCGGTGGCGGAAGCGGCACCTCAACTGGCGGGATGAATGAGCTGGCATCCGGATTCTTCTTTTTCTCCTCGAGGGCCCGTTCCCACTCATCGAAGTCGAGCGTATCTCCTTCGTCTGGGACTTCCCATGGGAACTCTTCCACAAGTTCTTGGCCCCCCATGGGAGTTGGCAAGTCTGGGTACAGCTCTTTCATAATGATGCGATGCCTCTCATCGTGCTCACTTTCGTCCAATTCTTCTGCGTCGATGGGCAATCGCAACAGGTCATCTGGGGCCATCTCCTGTGCCAGCACGTGGCTGGTATCTTTCAGGCGCACGACATCCGTCTCTTCCTCTTGCAGCAACCAATTCATTATCTCTTGGTCAACTGCGTCCACAATGTCGGCCGGGCTCAATTCGATTTGATCCACGGCTCGCCTTCCGGCAAGCATCAAGTCAGCAGCAGCTCGAACCTCCGAGATGGTAGGGTACCTGAACATGAACTCCATCAACTGCAAATCTCCCTCGCCCTCACCGGCGTTCAGGATTGTCAACGGTTCAATCTCGTCCTTGTACTGCATCACTTGGAAGGTCCGAAATGCACTGGTAGCAATGCCGGAGTAGACGGCGACGCCCCATTTGAGGGACTGGTAGCACTCGATCATGTGGAATTGATCGTGGTAGAAGACCTGGTTCGTCATCGTGCTTGGATCCACACACGGAACACCTCTCGATATCAGGTATCCGTAGTGCTCCCCGAGATGCCGGTTGTATGCTTTCGGCAAGT